TATTTACAACAATTATACTAATAGTCCTTCAAATTTTATGTAAATAAATTTTTATCAAATGACATTTAAAACTATAGTTTAAAATAGGAAAATAAAAATTAGTTAAATTTAATAGACGGGTTTAATGAACATTAATGTGCCAGAATTATTCCCTCTCAAAAATAATCCCCAATTAGTATTAATTGATTGATTTAAATTATAAGTTCAAAGGGATAAAGCATTTATTATTTTTAACATTAATTCACCGGAATTTTTTATCCCAGCCAATTCGAATAAAAAAAAAATCTCTCTACAAAATAATCCCTAAAATCACTATTTGATTGATTTAAAACCTAAGTTCAACGTGCGAGAAAGTGGGAATTCTTTAGTGATTAAAAACTAATCAAATTTAATTGAAAAAGACTAATCAACATTAATGCAATGGAAGTCATTTCCCCACCAATCTTATCCCTTAATCAACGTGACGTTATCATCTTTATTCCATAGTTATGAATTTTAATTTAGTTACTGGTTACGATATCTGATTCAGACATTCACTATAAATATCCACTTCGGTCTAACTCTAACATGTACAATGACAACCGGTGAAACACTGAAGCGAAGCATCTTATATACTTTACAAAACATCTTTGCAGCGACGACCTCACTCCGATCATGTTTTATTTAACATGTAAGGTGTCTCTTTCTCCAATTGTGTGCAATCTTGATTAACATGCGTTTTTAACTGTGTAAACATAAATTGCTTTGATTTATGTGACATGTAATATCTGATTTATTATTTTGTTGGTCTTTTTTACTTTTATTTGTATATAATCCTTATACATATTCCATTATTTAATTACATTTTTGGCATACAATTTATAAAATGTTGTCATTTCAAAGTATATATAACAATTTTATTTATAACGATTTAATTTAATTTTAATCATATATTTATTATTACAAACTAGTTACTTTATTTGTATTAATCACATTTAAAATTAAAAAATATATTTTCATAGATGTATATGTATAAACCCCGCACATCGTGCGGGTTTAACATCTAGTAAAAGTATAATATGCATAAATTTTTTAGGTTATAAATAATTTGCTAAAAAATTAAATGACAAGGAATAGGATGTTTAACTCAAACCATTACCATATTCAGAAAAGAATTAAATTACGGGGACTATGATGCCTAATGTTATATGGTAGCAGGATTGAATTAACTTGATATATTTACAAGTTATTTAATAATTCTGAAAAATCCCGACGGGCTCTCTTTTTGTTTTTTGTTTTTCCTCCTTTTTTTTTAGGGATATTCAGGGCGGTATCTGGTAGGAGTACCCCAATTCTATTAACACAAGATAAAAATTATACAAGGTAGTAATTAAGACTTACCGAAACAGAAAAGGATGCCGTCTTATAAAAGTTTTCCTAAAAACTCTTGACGGCTCTTATGTAATTACAACTATGAATTGTTACAAATATAGTGCAATATCTCTGACAATTCCTTGTAGTTTATGTTCTATTACCTAGGAGAATGTCTTACAGAGATTTCACATAAATTCTTGACATCTCCATCTAATCTAGAGAAGTTTTTCCTTTATTTTATTTTTGTTTTTTTAAAAAAAAATAAAACCTGTCTAAGTCTAATATAAGGAAAAGAACACTTATCGAGATACCATTTGCCTATCAAAGAAGCTGGTAGTTGCTCTCGATTGACATACTGAAATGTTGATCCATGTGATGCCATTTTTGCAAGTTCGTCTGTCATGCTGTTGACCTCTCTGAAGACATGTATGATTTTTGAATTGGAAAGAAGAATCATACGTTGGACTGCCTTGAGATTCTAGTGATGTTTCCATGTGTAACACTTATTCTGATGAAGCAAATTGACTATCGCCTGGTTGTCGGATTGAATGGCCACTCGAGATATTCTTTTTTCTATGCAGTATTGAAGACCATTGAAGATTGCTTCTACTTCTGTTTCAAAACTTGTTGCCATTCCCATGTATTTGCATTCCGCTCTGATGAATTCACCTTTTCTGCCCCTGAGTACATATTCCCATCCCGTTGCTCCAGGTTGGCCTAGAGCCGAACCGTCCGAATTAAGAGTTGTTTCTCCTAGTTCTGGTGGCTGCCATCTAAGTGATATCGCTATTTTTGGTTTGAATGTCTCCACTCTAAAATGAAAGGCTTGCTTAATTGGTTTTTTTTTAATATAATTTCCTTTGTATTGACATTCTTACCACATCCTTCCAACTCCAAAAATTTTCCTTTTTTTTTTTCCTGTGTGTAAATCAACAAAAGAGTCTTTTGTTTCAACAAGGTGATAAATTATTATATTTACCAGGAAGCAAAAAGGTTCGTTTTCCTTTGTCTATCTAGGTTGCATATTGTATCATGAGAGGAAAAAAGGAATAATGTTTCAATATCTTCTGGAGGTGTTGGATGCCCAAATTTCTAATTGGAAAAATAATCTGCTTAGTCAAGGGGCATGTCTACTTCTCATCAAGCATGTTTTATCAGTAATTCTACTATACATTTTTGTAGCTATCTAGCCTCCGAAGTCGATTCTGGATGCGATGAAGAAATGGTGTCAACGGTTCCTATAGGAAGGTTTGGATGAAAAGACTAAAAGGCATTGGAGATTATGGGATCAATTGACTTTTCCTTTCAATGAAAATGGTCTAGGCCTTCGGAGTTTAACGGATGTGATCAAGGCTTTTAGTGTGAAACTTTGGTGGAAGATTTACTAGATAAGGGCTTTGGGAAGAATTTTTAATGTCTCTATCAACATCTGCGAGATGCAAAACATCTTGGAGTCGAATAGAGAGAAAATTGATCTCCTTGTTGCGTCAAACACCATGACCCTAGTTCACAAAGGAGATAGCAATTTCTGGCATGATAATTGGTCATACATGGGAGTCATTTGGGATTTGCCATCAGAGGTACTCCATTACTCATCGCTTACTATTAAGAAATTCTTTGATGATAAAGCCTTTTTCTTGTCAGAATTTCAAGCGCAGCTTTCAGTAGAGATTTCAGATAAGCAAGTTTCCATGGAGCAGAATTTTACGATAGGGAAAGGTTTGATAGTATGGATGCCATCGACGGTTGGGAAGATAAGAAAAAGACGAGAAAAGAATAATCTGTTGCACACTATACGGATAGGAACTTGTAGTTTTTACTCCTTTTTTTCCTAGAGCTGTCATAGAATTTATAATTTGAATCTTTATAAGACAAATTCTTAGATAATTAATTATCACAGGAGTGTCATATTTATAGTTTAAATTTTTGTATGACAGACTATTAGTTAGTTATTTGTTACAGAACTATCATTAGATTTTAATAAATCCTTGTAAGACAATCTCTTTGCCTCTAGGTAAATTCTAAGTATTGTCTTTGGTAATATTTTTTGGCTATCAATAAAATCAGGATGCACGCGAGGTACTGTTCTGAATTTACCTAAATTTTTTTTTGAAATAATCATTCAATTATGAAAATTATTCTCTTTCCACCACAAAACAAATTTTGAACCCCCTATCTTTTTGTCACTTTCCCATTGAAATCTTATTTTTTCCCAAATTATATTTGTACCCTTAATAAATAAGTACACATATTTAGCGAGAATGGTTTATTTGTCTTTTTAGAAGTCATTATTTCATTTCATTATAAATTATCAACTAGATGCTTGTCCCGGGTAAATGCCCGGGAGCGTCCTCCCACCTAATAAATTAATATGTAAATAATTAAAACTGATTAGAGATGAATAAATGCCCGGGGGCGTCCTCCCACCTAATAAATTAATATGTAAATAATCAAAACTGATTAGTAATGAATTTAGTTTTTGATGAAAATAATTAATTGATCGAAAATTATTTTTTTCAAAAATCCTAAATAATTGGAGAAAGAAAGTTCCATTCAATGTCAATTCAAAATTTGAATGAACATGGACATCTGATCTCTTTGTTAATATTGTAAATATATTTTTTGTTTTTAAAAGAGGGTGACACGTGGCAGAATGGTTTATGCAATATGGTGCATTTGGAGCCAAAACCTTTTAATAAGAAATTGCCACATCAGCATCCTGTTTTCTGCTTTAATAGGGTAAAAGGGATTTTTCAAAAATCCTAAATAAGTGGAGAAGGAAAGTTCCATTCACTGTCAATTCAAAATTTGAATGAACATGGACATCTGATCTCTTTGTTAATATTGTAAATATATTTTTTGTTTTTAAAAGAGGGTGACACGTGGCAGAATGGTTTATGCAATATGGTGCATTTGGAGCCAAAAACTTTTAATAAGAAATTGCCACATCAGCATCGTGTTTTCTGCTTTAATAGGGTAAAAAGGATGTCCCTATCATTACTGTTTTTCTCACCTACCTTCATCAATTTTTTTGTAATGAATTGGTTGTGAGTTTCGTTAGCTCAAGCTACAAAAAATTAATGAATCTATCATTTTCAAATTTTTATGCTTGTTATAATACTGTTGCATGAGGTTAGTTAATTTTATTAAAAATTTAAGCGCATTTTTTTTTAATTTTTATTTTTGCATTTCTATCTTATATTGTTCAAGAAAAACACCGGTATGAAAAAAATGATCATTCTGAAACATTTTTAAATGTAACAATGATAGGGGCAATAATAATTTATAATAAAATGTGATAGTGGCTTATGACAAAACAAATATACCACCTCTCTAAACATGTGTATTTATTAATTAAGGGGCAAAATATGATTTTTGAAAAAAAAAATTCCAACGGAAAAAGCGATAAAAAAAAAAAGGAAAATCATCATACTCTACATAAGCCACTAATTATTTTTCATCTTTTCTTTTCACTATATATATATATATTTATATCATTTTCCTTTTAAATATAACAAAAAGAATTTAAGATCTCTTTTTAGTGAGGTGACTTTGCTTGGGGCTTCTTTGCCTAATTATAGGCCTAGACTTGAAGAAGTATATAATAGTTATCCATTTGCCAAAAATTTTCTGCCATTCTCTTATCTATCGTTTTGTGCATTTAGAATGCCTATATAATGTTGCGTTACCATTTTTCTAGGTCGAAAAACCCCATCTTCATTTTCCAGCTAAGACTTTTTCTTTCTTTTTTCTTCTAATCAAAACCCCCCTACTTTTAGCAATTTCCCTTATCCCAGCCTTTTCTTAAAATGATTTTAATCGTTTTAACACCTTCTCATTAAAAATGTAAGGAAGGTAAATTCCCACTTTCACAAATTTTGGAGAGCTATCCACAATTTATGCCTAAGTCGGGGGAGGTTCTAGTAATTAACCATTATTTTATTATCCTGCCACGAGTTCATCTGACTCTTAGAAACAAAACAAACACCGCTCATGACAGAAAACATTAACGCCCACCGACACTTCATCACTCATCTCTGCATCATTGACGGTGGAACCATTTGCTCAAACTCATCACTAGTTTTTGAATGATTTCTCAATGAAGGTAAGATATCAACAAAATCCCTAGTTTTTCCCGAATGTGCAATGATTATGCTTCGACTTTGAATTCCTTTTGTCCATTTGAAAGCAGCAGCATCCAACTTTTACCTCTCAATTTTTAAATTTCCAGATCTGTATAAACCTTTTGATTATCTTGTTAAAGATTGTGTTTTTCGGAGACCATTTACTTCAATTTACCCAATCCCCCACTGTTTCTTGGTTGTTTCACTTCGCATTGTGCTATTTTGCTAGATTTTCCGCTGCCTACTTAAAGCATTTTTGGAGCTTCGTTAAGGCCATTGTCAGTGGGATAGATTGAAAAAATGTTGGGTCGATCTCAGCATTTGCTGTCTAGGGATGGGACTTTCAGGCCAGAAAATTTAGGACCTAAAGTATTGGCGATGATTGGGAACCTTTGTTTCAGCTTGTTTGTGTTTGGGGTTTTGCTCTTCACTATAATTGCTGCAACTTATAAGCCTGAAGACCCTTTGTTTCACCCTTCAGCAAAAATCAACAGTTTCTTAACATCTGACACCAATGCCACATTTAAATCTGACACTACTGTTGTCAAGACTGGTGAGGACTTTATGGCCCCAAATCAGACTGCGTTTGCAACATTCTTGAATATGACGGATGTGGATAATGCGGTGCCTGAGGCTATCGGGGAGATGGAGGCTAGTGAGGTCGCGAATTGTACTGGAAATCCTGATGAGCCTATTGATTGTACTGATCCTGAGGTTTTCCATCTGTTGATGAAGGCTGCTATCGAGAAGTTTAAAGATATACATTTCTACCGGTTTGGAAAGGCCGTTCGAGGAAACTATGATCATTCTTGCCACATGGCATGGAGATTTAGGCCTATTGAGGGCAAGACTGCTGCTTTTTATAAAGATTATAGGAATTTTGAGGTTGCCAGGTCAGAAAATTGCACTCTGAGTGTGGTTAGAATTGGTGGTTATCATTCAGGAGGGAATGCCAGAAAAAAGAAGAAGCATCAGAAGGGGGGAATTGAGAAGATGATAAAGGCACAAGAACCAGCAAATGCCCTACCTGTGGTTGGGGAAGCTGTAAATGATTCGCTACCTGTGGTCGAATCAGAGGGATCTTTCAGCCGTGGGAAATATTTGCTGTATACTCCTGGCGGGGATAGGTGCAAGAACATGAACCATTATTTGTGGAGTTTCATGTGCGCCTTAGGCGAAGCTCAATACCTGAATAGAACACTTGTAATGGATCTGAACATTTGTTTGTCAAAGATCTACACTTCATCTGGTGTTGATGAGGAAGGGAAAGACTTCAGGTATTACTTCGATTTTGAGCACTTGAAGGATTCAGCTTCAGTTCTTGATAAGGGTCAGTTTTGGGATGATTGGAAAAAGTGGCATAAGAAAGATGGATTGAGTCTTCATCTTGTGGAAGGTTTTAAAACCACACCAATGAAATTAGTTGGTGTTAAGGATACCTTAATTATGAGAAAGTTTGGATCAGTGGAGCCAGACAATTACTGGTACAGGGTTTGCGAGGGTGAGACTGAGTCAGTTGTTCAAAGGCCATGGCACTTAATATGGAAATCTAGACGGTTAATGGACATTGTATCTGCAATATCATCAAGGCTAAACTGGGATTATGACTCGGTACACATAGAGAGAGGGGAAAAGGCTAGTAATAAGAAATTATGGCCTAATCTTGATGCGGATACTTCGCCTGAAGCGCTACTGTCCACCTTGCAGGATAAATTGGAAGATGGCAGGAACCTCTACATTGCTACAAATGAACCTGACACATCCTTTTTTGATCCTTTGAAGGATAAGTATGCGACTCATTTTCTGGATGATTATAAGGATTTGTGGAATGAGACCAGCGAGTGGTACGAAGAGACAATGAAACTCAACAATGGAAATCCTGTGGAATTTGATGGTTACATGAGAGTGTCTGTCGATACAGAAGTATTCCTGAGAGCCAAAAAGCAGATTGAGACTTTTAATGATCTTACAAAGGACTGTAAGGATGGAATCAATACCTGCACGGCTTCCAGCTGATGATCCCTGTGCTCTGTTGCTTTGCTAGTGCAGCTACCTGTACCTTTACAACCCTTCATTTTCTTTCCCCATAGAAAATTTTGCCCTTTAATGCTAGTAAAACTTTGATGAACCTCTTTTGAGCTTGTAACTTATGCAGAATACTGGACTTGTTTCAGTCTTTGTCCAATAGTAGTTTTTAGTTTAAGTTATTCCACAGATTCACTCCTTTTCCTTAGCAATATTTTGAGTATTAGGTACTTGTATTGTTAAGAAAAACGCATTTGAGGGTAGTACTTTTGTGGTTCCCCTGTTGGTACTTGGGTAACTTTCATAGTAATTTTACCTTATTCTGTGTTCACATGGCAAGAGGCGACAATTTTCAGTAGTAATATGGTCCTGTTTCGTGAGTGCAGGCCAGAAGTGAGATTTTCAGGTGGTATGTCAATATTGTTTCCATGCATTATGTAGTTAACACTTCTAAGTATCAGTTACTGAAAATGGAAGTATTTGTTTACCATTGATAGAAGAGTTATAAAAACAACTGATCTCTTCGTTACATTAGCAAAACCAAAGAGTTCACAACATCTGATCACAATCAATCCATAGCACCTTTCGCCTGAGTTATTAGATGTTATAAATAATTGCAATTTTATCCTCCAGATCCCTTTCTATTTTGATCTCCTGTAAAATCTTTCTTTGAACAAAATGAAACAAAAGTGCAGTTTTTCCTCAGCTCCAATTAAACCATAAACAGTCATGACCATATGAGACGTTAGAACATCATTACCCGTAGTTCCAAAATCCAAGTTTATAGTCTTGGTTGAAGTGCTCTTCCAGAACTGTAGTCCTTCAATCCTTAATGTGGCACTTGTTCTGAGAAAAACAACTTCCATGTTTTCGGCATCACTCCCTTGCATACACCATGGCCAGTTGCAGTATACCAAGACTGATTACGAGCAAAGGGGAACTTTTCAGTTCAGTATGATGAAATGCAGCATGCCCATCGAGGTGATGATTTGTTCTTTCTTCACCCCTTCCCCTCTTTGTAAACAAACAAACTACACATTTTCATCAGGCCTGGAGCTCTAACGAGAAAGAAGCATCTTCATGACAGCATCAGGAATGCATGACTAACCAAAAACTTGACAGCATGTGCAGCAAAGCAGATCCCCAAACATCTTATGGTCGTTGAATTGCCTAATACTGGGTCGTGCAGTGAAAATAAACATTTAGAAACTAAAAGTAGGTGGCAATTAAGATGGTTAAATTTAAGTGGACCTCCTTTTGCACTCAACCCTTTTATGTGGTGAGGGTGTGAGGCCCTGTTGTGGCTAAAGAATATAACAGGAGTTCATGCATAGAATTTCATTTTCACTCCAAATTAGTCCAAGGTACTTCAACTGGTTGAACTTAAAAAAGGCAACGTAACTCATGCAAAGACCAAACAGGGTATCTTTGTTACCAATCATCAAGTAAGCTTCACCTTTCAAAGCAACTGTACTTGATGACAAGACAAACATATCAATAAGTAATATCACCGAAGAAGGGAACTCCCAGACCTGCAAAGTGGACAATGCAAATCAAACGGAAAATAAATTCTACAGAACAAATTATAGATGCACACATGACTTCCAGAATGAAAACACATAGCTGTAAAGAAAATATGAACTAACCATAGTCGCTATCAGGAAGATTTTGAAGTAACTCGAAAAAAGGATTGCAAGCACCGTATCTTTGTTTCTGTCCATTTTAAGATACAATTAGCTACAGATGTGATAATAACTTTAGGAAAAGCTAAAAAACTAGCTAGAAAGATAAAAACAGATAGATACTTAAATTACAACAAAACCCTCACAAAATTTTCACTTAGGAAGCATGTTGACGCATATATCCTTCCTTACAGGATCTTCCATATAAGTTAATTAACTAACAAAATCCCCTCTTGAATTTGAAATCAGCAGGAGAAGAAAGTTTCAAGCCCGAAATTTTTCTTTCCTGCTTGAATATGATTTCAGAAAATGTTGCATATGCATTAGAAACAGATCAGCATTTTGACACCCATTTGAACAACAATGGCATATGGAAGTGAAAGATTCAATATTTTTCAGAGTATTCATGTAAGACATTCATATATTTAGCCACGTCACTGATGTCAGGACTCCATAATTTGAATGGATTATGTTGTAAATTTAATTACTCGGTAAATCTAACCATAACTCCTGGGTCATACCTGATAAAGAACGGACAGTCTTTATATGTGATTTTCAAGATTACAGGAGTTTGCAGAAAACAAAAGCTTTTACTCATAATCATCAAATCAGACCAAAATGAGAATATCATGCTCTCAAATTATAAGATATAGGGAACATGTGCAACTCAAGCAATGTGCTATCGTGTTTCAACCTAAAATGTTAGAGTTGTGGTAGACTTCACAAATGATATGCCATTCATTTTTAAAGCTTATAAAATATCAAGGTTTAACTTAACCAAAAGGTAATAGAATCATACACAACAATATCTTTGATAGAAAACGAAGTATCCATCGCTGGTCTACAAGAAATATTCAGGGTAATTATCCTTCTTCTCTAAGACGATGATATAACCTTTAAAGTAAAAGTTTATCATTCAGACAAAAGTTACGAGCTTAAACACAGGAACAAGAAGGTTTTGGTCCTTCAAGCATCAGTAAACTAAGCTAGATACATGACTAAGAAATCCCACGTCAGAGAAGAATATCAACGGCACATTTACATGACCACAAAGACAAACACATGAGTTCATCGTATAACGCAGAGTTGGCGATATGGATCATATATCAACCATCTCAATCTATCAAACACATGAGTTCTTCTGTGGCCCACATGCAAAGTTTTATAAAAGTAAAGGGCTGATGGATGGGAAACAAGTCTTCACCCACTATGTGGGTTGGCAAGCAACTGTTGTTGGGGGAGTTAAAGAGAGCTTTGACTGTGTATTATGTTAAGATAACCTAAACCTATCATAGACATTAAAAGCGAAATCAAACAGTAGTGTTTCAAAAAATGCTTACCTCAACCCCATAGTTGGAACATCCAGAAATTTTGTCGAGCCAGTCAGAATTACTAACATAAATAAGATATTCCCGAAAACAGAACCAAACAAGATCTGCAACAAATCATTGAATTCCATGAAGCAAACCATAAGAAATACCAATTTCTCATTGAAAAAAGGATTACACGGGCAGACTAAAGAAAAATCCAAACCTTGACATAAACCCTTAGAAGCGAAACAAAGCTAATTTTTGCACTCCGTCCCATGATAATGAAATTCAAGACCAACAAACCGTCTGATCTAGCTAAGGCTTTTCACTCAGTTTCAGACAATAATGAGTGAAACTACAGAAGATACCAAATCAAAAAAAAGAATTCAAAGCCAAATTAATGTGAACTTCAAAAGGCAAACGAAGTGACATATCAATCACATATATTCAAATCTATAGCTTCTGCTCGGTGTTACATATGTAAATCCTTATATCTTTGTCCCCAAAAAAGAATGTCGTAATCAAAGGATACAAGTGTCCAACACTAGAAATCCCAGTATTGATCCCCACAGAAAGCCCTGCAAAATTCATGACAGGAAAATGAGCACAAACAAGGAATTAGTGAACAAAAGAGCCAATATTTTTCCATTAAGTATACCTCAAAATCCAGAGCATTTTTGCTGGACATGTTATAGAACAAATGTCTGTATGCCTTGGGCTTGTGCAGAATCAAGTCGATGACAATGATCTAAATGTAATTGAACCACCAAAAATACAAACATGAAGTAAGTACAGAAAGTTTGGCTAAAATAAAAAGTAAATAAATAGATTTAAAAAAAAGAAAAATTGAAAGCTTTCCCAAATTTGGATTAATTGAAGCCTTTCTTGAACTTACCATTAGTTCGCACTCAATATATTCATCAGCCACTCTTTTGCAGTTATCCTGCAGAATAGAACAAATTGGGTTTGCGTTTCTAGGTTCAAATCAAAAGGGGGAATGTATGCATGCAGAGAATAGAAGAGATTCATACGCATTTGTTGAGACGGATGTTCCCCGGGGAGTACTGAATGTAGAGTGATTTGATCGGAAAACAACATTGAACGCATCTAAAACTGCTGTCTTTTCCCATTAGATGATCAGTGGCGGAATTATTAAGGGCCCGCAACGGTCGTTACACCCGCCGGATAACCGGAAAACGGCACTGATCAGTGCCCGTGCTGTTTAGCTCTGCCTCCGTAGAATTTAAAAGGGCTCAAAAGTCTGAACTGAGTGCTAAGATCTATTTACAATTAAATGGATTTATTCTGCAAGAAGACAGTATGAGCAGGAAAAAAAAAAAAAAAGAAAAAGAAAACCACTAGAAGAAGACACAGCTCACAGCTGCGGCGGTGGAGATGGCGGTGAATGGTCTCCTAACGTTCAGGGAGAAGATTTGTTTCGGAAAAAAAACAGATTCAATTTTTTTTAAATTTTTTTTTTTGGGGGGGTTTTAAAATCTAGTTTTTTTAACCGTAAATATATTGATGAGTTCTGAGTGCATATTTCAACCAAAATCACCCCTTTACAATCATTTAAAAAAAAAAAAAAAGACCGGATACACTTTTCGTCCCCAACTTTTGAAGGTAACAAGATCGAGTCACTATGAATTTTCAATTGGTAAAAATAGTTCTCTAAAATATTTTTCTCAACAATTTTGGTCAATTTAACATAAATTTTCAAGAGTTAATGGATTTTGTATACTTTCTGTCAACTCTCTATTTTTTTATTCATTTCTACATTATTAGTGGGTCTCACCAAGTTTGACCCCCCCTAAAAAAAATTAATAAAACAAAAAACTAATTGAACCCAATAAAATTTTGTTTTTTCTTTTATCATTTCTTTTCTCTTTTTCCCTAGTTCAACTCCAATTTTCCCTGCCCCTCACAACCAGTGTTTGCAAATTCTAGGTCACTAAATCGATACTGGATCGATTAAACTCGTGTTTTGCGGTAGGATCGGAGCAGGATCGTACGGGATCGTACAGGATCGTAGAATCGTGTAGGATCGTTCGAGTCCACCGATTTAGCCTCCAAAAAATTTATTGGGCTTGGTTTACTCCAATTCATGAAAAAAAAAACTTTAAAAAGAAGATGAAAAGAGTGATAAAGTTGAAGAAATTGAGTTCTTTAGAGTTGTTTAGAAGGATTACTCTATCAGAATTGAGAAAAGGATCTCGTAGTTTATATGCTTTGTTTTGTTTTCTCGCCGGAACTCTTCTGCTAACAGACTCGTGACCTTGAGGGAGAAAAAGAATGATCAATTGGTCAATGACTCAATTGATGACATAAGTCTTTCTTTAGTTTATGTTTTGTATTTGGTCCACGACATTTTTCTCTTCTTAATCTTAATCATAATTTTCAATCACTCTAAAATAATCATACACAACTTATTAAAGTACTAGTAATTTGTAACTGAAACATTACTTATTCTATTGTCTGTCATATTATTGATTAAATACAAAATTACAATTATCGCTCGTATTTTAGTTAGAAATTAGAATGAATGCATTATACAGCTTTAAAAAAAATCTAAAAATTATTGTTAGTAATTGTTTATAATATATAAATTTTTAAAAAAATTTACGATCCTACTTTTTCGATCCTACCAATCCTATTTACGATCCGATCCTATTGTCACGGGCTTACTTTTCCAAAGTAACGGCCGTGCGGCACTAGCACAAAACAACTAACGATCAAGTGCTAGCTCAGCCTTAAGACCCCCAAAACGTGCAAAGTTAGGCAAGGCCTTAAAGAACGGAGGCAAAGAAAACTTAAGAAAGGTTGAAAGTGAAAGAACGATGAAGGCACAAGAGAGCTTAAGGAATGCTTGAGAACTCTACTCAAAGCTTGGATGGATTACAAATGAAGGGGGCATGGGGTATTTATAGGCAAACCCCAAGTTTCAAAGAATTATAGAGAATTCTATGTACATAATAAAATAATGAAATTCTAGAGAATTCCTACCATAAAATATTCTAAGTCCAAAATATCTACAAGTCTCTAGAATCCTCCACACGGTTCTAGCAAACTCGGGCAGCTTCCACACGGTTCTACCCGTTTCTAGAGAGTTCCGGGTCTCTCTAGAGAATTCCAGAGTCTTCAACATTTGACCAGAGAATTCCACAAGGCTCTAGACCATTCCGTCCCATGTCCGTCTATGAAAATAGCCTATTTCGCAGCAAACCACCCGAATTCGTGGGGAAGAAAAACTGTCCGTGACATCCTCCCCCACCAAAATGGTGCATCGCCCCGATGCACCTAAGTCTCGAAGGCAATGTTGATAGGAACGGGTGCACGATTCTCCTCAAAGTCCTCGATCAATTTGGTGAATTGCCAAAGCTTCTCGATTGGCTCCCAACTCGTCGCACTCATTGGCAAATTCTTCCATTTCACCAAGTATTCTTTAGTCGCTGCCCCGCTCTTGCCTCGAATGATCCTCTTAGAAAGGATGTCCTCTGCGGTCTGTTCCTCGTGCTCGCGTACGCCAGCTGGTGCCCTTGAGGAAACGTTCCGTTCTTCGCCCTCTGGGTCCTTGCGGTATGGCTTAAGTAGGCTCACATGAAAGACTGGATGAAGCCTTGAAAAGGCCTCGGGTAGTTCCAACTTGTAAGCAACCGAACCCACTTTCTTAAGAACGGTGAAAGGACCCTCGTATGCGCATGAGACCCTTGTGTAGACCACGGCTCCGTCCATCCTCATAAAGCTTCACTAAGACTTGGTCGCCTTCTTCAAACTCGCGACGGGTCCGTTTCTTATCCGCCCATTTCTTCATGCACGCGGCCGACTTCTCCAAGTTGAGTTTTGCCTCGTCGGCCCGTTCTTGCCAATCTTTGGCAAACTTGTATGCAGGTGGGCTATTGCCCTTGTAGCCCCCAAGAATGTCCTTAGGCGTAGTCGGTTGGAAATCAAGGACAATCTCAAACGGACTTTTGCCCGTGCTCTCACTCCTCATCAAGTTATATGAAAATTGGGCAACGTCTAGCAAACGTACCCAATCTTTCTGGTTGGCTGCCACATAGTGCCTAAGGTATACCTCCAAGAGGCCGTTGATGCGCTCCGTCTGTCCACCCGTTTGCGGGTGCAAAGATGTAGACATCTTGAGCTCCGTCCCAAGCAAAAGAAAGAGTTCTTGCCAAAAACGACCAGTGAACCTCGAGTCCCTATCGCTTATGATGGATGTAGGTAGCCCCCAATACTTCACCACATGCCTAAGAAAGAGTTTGGCCGTTATCTCCGCGGTGCACTCTTTTGGGGCAGGTATGAAGACCGCATACTTAGACAAACGGTCTACCACAACGAGTATGTTGGTGCAACCCTCGGAAACGGGCAAGCTCATGATGAAATCCATCGAAACGCTGTCCCACGGGCGTTCTGGAATAGGCAAGGGTGATAACAAGCCATGCGGGTGGTCTTGCTCGATCTTGTCTTGTTGGCAAACTAGACAAGTCCTTATATAAGTCTCTACGTCTTCCCGCATGCGAGGCCAATAGAACCGTTCATGGACTAAGGCAAGTGTGCGATGCGTACCTGGGTGACCCGCATAACGGCTATCATGGCAATCCCTTAGAATCTCCCTTCTAAGTCCATCCCATGCGGGCACGTACAAACGGTTCCCCTTGGCATAAAGTATCCCATCCTCAAGCCAGAATCGCGTTGTCTTGCCTTCCTTCACGAGCTCCATGAACCTTTGGGCTTGACGGTCGTGCTCAAGACCCTTCTTGATGCGGTCAACCAATGTCCCCTCGGGTATGCTAACGATTGGTGCAAGACACGCCTTTCGGCTTAGGGCGTCGGCCACGTGGTTAGTCTTCCCCGAGCTATACTCAAGCTCGTATTTAAACTCGGCCAAGAAGTCCAACCAACGTGCTTGCTTGCTTGAAAGCTTAGGTTGGCTTTGATGGTAGCTCACTGCCCGATTGTCCGTCTTGATCTTGAATGGTGTGGCGGCCTTCAAATAATGCTCCCAAACTCTAAGGCAGTGAACTATAGCCAACATCTCCTTCTCGTGCGTCGGCCACCTTTTCTCGGTCTCGTTCAACTTGCGACTTTCAAAGGCGATCGGGTGACCATCTTGCATGAGAACGCCCCCAATGGCGAAGTCCGAAGCGTGCGTGCACACCTCAAATGGTTTCTCAAAATCAGGGAGAGCTAGGACTGGCTCTCGAGTGACGGCGTCCTTTAAAGCCTCGAACGCTGTTTGGTATTTTGGTGTCCAACACCAACCTTGCCCCTTTTTCAAGAGATCCATTAGTGGAGCGGCTTTGGCGGAGTGCCCTTCAATAAACCGCCCGATAGTAATTTACAAGCCCCAAGAATGATCTCAGCTCCGTTGGCTTCGTGGGTGCCTCCCATTCCACGATAGCCTTGATTTTTGCTGGATCCATGCGGCTTTTTCCCCCACCGATGATATGTCCCAAGAACGACACCTCCTCAAGGCCGAAGGAACACTTCTCCCTTTTAACATAGAGCTGGTTTTCTCTAAAGACTTGAAAAACAGCTCTAAGATGCTCCACATGCTCCTTCATTGTGTTACTATAGATAACGATGTCGTCCAAGTATACTACAACAAACTTGTCAATGAAATCGGCTAGCATGCGTTGCATCAAGGTGCAAAACGTGGTTGGGGAGTTAGTTAAACCCAACGGCATAACAAGAAACTCATAAGAGCCATACCTCGTCACCATGGCCGTTTTCGGTTCATCACCGGGTGCTATGCGTACTTGGTAGTACCCCTTCTGCAAGTCCAACTTGGAAAAGATCCGTGCCCGTTGCAGCCGGTCGAACAAGTCCGCTATAAGTGGGATAGGGTACTTGTTCTTCATGGTTAGCTTGTTTAACGCCCGATAGTCGATGCACAAATGTATCGTCCCATCTTTCTTGTGTTGGAACAAGGCCGGCGAACCCCACGGACTTTTAGACGGCCTTGCATGATCCGATTCAAGTAGCTCCTTGATTTGCACCTTGAGTTCCTCTAGCTTGCTAGGGGACATACGATAAGGCACCTTGGCTATCGGTTTCGCCCCGTCCACCAACTCGATGGCATGATCAACCTCCCTCTTTGGTGGAAGACCTTTGGGCAAATCGTCGGGCATCACGTCCTTGAACTTATCAAGGACTCGTTCTATGGGAGGCGGGATTTGTTCTTCCTTTGCCGGCTCCTCTGTGCATGGTTCCTCCTCAAACACCATGACGGCAAAGGTGTGTTCACCCCGTTTTAGCCCTTTGTTCAGCTGGGAAGGGCTAATTTCATTTTCCTGTCTAAACTTTACCACACAAGGCTTCTCGCCTTGGAGGATCACCATCGTGTCGTTACTTGGCACGATGATCGGCCTCACCTGGTCTACAAACTCCATGCCAAACACAAGACCATAATCATCCATAGGTGCAATGGAGAAATTAGCCGTACCTGACCAGTTGCCGATTTTAAGAGGCACGTCTCTTGCTTTGCCCACAAGACCTGTCCATTCACTGTTCGCACCCTTGAAACGGCCTTTGCTAGGTGTCCACTTGACTCCAAGCGTACGAGCTACCTCTTTCGTGAGATAACTCGTATCGGCCCCCCGTGTCTAGCATGCCCCATCTAGACCCGTTTGTGAACGATGCCTCCATGTAAAGACGGCCTTGACGTGTCTCGGCCTTGGCATGCACGGCGTCTAGCCGTTTCATGCAAGCGACCCATTTCTCCTCTTCTTGGCACAAACCTTGCGCCAATGCTGCCAACTTCGAACGAGACGGACAATCGCGTGCCATGTGCGCTCCCCCGCACAAGAAGCACCCTTGAAACTTCTTTGGCTTATCCCCCTTGGTCTCCTTGCTTGAAGACGGCTTTGTGGAGTTGGCTGCCGGTTTCGCGGGTGTGGAAGACTTCCCTTTGTCTCCCCCACCTTTGCCTTGGAACGGCTTTTTGCCCTTGTCCTTGGAGCTATCCTTCTTTTGGAACTCAACAAGCGACTCGGCCACCTTTAACGCCCGATCGATGTCCTGGACTTCTCTCCGTTGTAGCTCAAGTTTGGCCCAACGGTTGAGACCGTCCATGAAGGTAAAGAATGCCTCCTTGGGCGAGAGATCCGGAATTTCAAGCATCAAGTCTGAAAATTCCTTAACGTATTCCCGGATTTGGCCTTCCCTATGGTGCAGACGACGAAGCTTGGCCCGGGCTTCGTCTTCCGCATCCACGGGTAAGAAATACTTTCTAAACTCTTCCTTAAAACCATCCCACGTGGTGAAGACCGGGTCTCCGTCCCCCACGGGTTTCATCATACGTTTCCACCATGATAAAGCACTATCTTTAAGATAAAGGGAGGCTTGGAAGAGTCTTACCGAGTCGTCCATGATATTCATAGTCCCAAAGTACCGTTCCATGCTGTAGAGAAAGTTTTCTACGTCCCTCAAGCGATGGCTGCCCTTGTATTCGTCCGGCTTGGGCGCTTCAAACCTTGGAACTGTCCCCACGGCTCCGGTTGTCCCTCGCACGGCCGCAGCGTCAAGCCGTGCCTTAAGACGCGCCGATTCTGCCCGAGAAGTCTCCAGCTCCCCCATAAGCCGGTTGACGTCGTCTTGGAGGGCGGAAACACGAGCAAGGCTTTCCTCCTTCGACTTGTTGCAACGTTCCACCATTTTGTTGAGCGTCCCTAGCATGTCGTCCTTCATTTGCTGCATGACCTCTTGCAATTCCCCTGCGAATCGCTCCATGCGAGCTTCGACGACCCTTGCTACCACCTCAGGGTGCTCGCCCCAACGGTCTTGATGGTCGGCCATAGCAAGCTCTAACTTGGCAAGCCGTTTCTCGAATTCCACCATCGGCTCCCTAACGACCGACTTCTCCTTGCGGCTACCTTTGCGGGTGGTCCTCCCCACCTCACGGGAAACGTGATCCCCCTCAAGCTCCGACCCTTGAACGACCTCCGAAGGGTTGGACATAGTGATAATGTTAATATTAGCATGATATTTGTGGTGGTTTATGTGTTGTTTTGAATATTATCTATGCTAATATTAGTGCTTTGGTTCTTAATTTGATCTTAGAAAAGATTCGGAACAAAAAGAAGAAAAGTGTTGATTTTGAAGAGATTTTGAAGTTTTATTGAATCAAGTTTCAAGTTGGAGAAGAGGCACAACAAAGGGAGCAATAGCTGGAGCTCAGGACAAGGATTTCTCTCCGTTTTCGTCAGTTTTTGCTCTGTAATGTCAAACATCAATTCTTGTGTTGTTGATTTCACCATGATTAGCAACTAAACCTCTTTTCTAGTTTAAGGATTTTATTGAAGCCTTGATGTTATTCAATTGTGAGATCTAACTGTTTGCTTTTCACCAACGAATTTTGAGTATTTATTTATTCTCTTTGATGTGTATTGATGATTATTTGGCATTATTTGAATAGCTGGTAGCATTCAATTCTCCTAGATAATCTAATTTATTGAACAACAAGGTTTGTTTGTTCCTTAGAAGAGATAATGCAAATAATTACTTGGTAAGTAGTTTACTTGTGTTGTGAGAATAAATAATCAATTTTTAATGAAACAAGGTTTGTTTGTTAGAAACTGAATTGGGTCTTTGCTTGTCAAAAACTAAATCCTAGGAGGTTCCAGGTAGTGTTTTTTGGTTATAGAGTGATTAATGAAGGTTTCTTAGTCACTGGTAGTTAAATAAAAAGACTGAGTTGTTAGGAGGTTCCAACAACGATAACTAATATATTCATCATTTGTTAGAGTTAATCTTTACATCAATGATCAGTTGGATACATCAAGGTGGAAATTATTCCTTTGACTAGAGTTGCTCTTATTATTGATTTTCCAAAAGTATCTTTTATTGCTTGCAAATTATTTTTGTTATTCATTAGTTACAAATCCAAAATCTCTCCCATTTAGTTACTTAGCTTTTGATTAGAAATATTTTCACTTCCTTACTCCCTGAGGAGACGACCCTACTCATTGCTATACTACTAAATTTCTTAGGAGTAGGTTCTTTTATTTTTGTTGGTTTGACAACCCACCAAATTTTGGCGCCGTTGCCGGGGAGCATGGTCTAGAGTGATTTATTTCTTGTTAAAAGTTTGTTTTTATTTTTATTTTTATTTTTATTTTTATTCCATTTTATGGTGCGTTTTGATAATACAGAGAGATTATTGTTTGATCCTGAGATAGAAAAGACAGCTAAACAGAACCGAAAGGAAAAGAGGAAAAGAGATTTACTTCTTAGTGCTACACCTGAATCTCAAGAGGACGATAGCCAAGAAGAAGAAGGAAAAGAAGAAGTTACAAGCTCTGAAAAAGGGGAAGAATTTGAAGAAGAAAGTATGGGTGACAGAACTCTGAGGGAGCTTGCGACTCCAGATGTGAACTTACGAACATTCTGCATAACCATGCCTGCAAATACTCCACGTTTTGAGCTAAAACCAGGTACACTTCAATTATTACCTAAATTTGGTGGTTTTGCAGGTGAGGATCCGCATAAGCACTTGATGGAGTTCGATTCTATGTGCTCAACGGTAAGCTATCCAGGAGTCACTGAAGAGCAAATTCAGGTACGTGCTTTTCCATTCTCTTTGGAAGACAAAGCCAAGCGCTGGTTATATGGTTTACCAGCTGGTTCAATCACTTCATGGAATCAGTTGAAGAACAAATTTTTGGAGAAATTCTTTCCAGCACATCGTGCAGCAAATATTCGGAAAGATATCTGTGGAATCCGACAACTCCATGGAGAAACATTGTACGAATATTGGGAAAGATTCGGAGAGTTATGTAGGAGTTGTCCTCAACATCAAATCCCTGAACAGTTACTACTTCAATATTTCTATGAGGGGCTATCAGAGGTGGATCGAGACAAGTTAGATTCAGCCAGTGGAGGAGCTTTAATGAATAAAACACCAGCACAAGCTACCGACTTGATTTCAACCATGGCTGAAACTACTCAGCAGTTTAATAAAAGAGCGAAACAGCTACGGACATGTCAATGGGGTAAGTATTTTAAATTTAGAAAATCAAATATCTGATTTAACCTCTTTGGTGCGTCAAATGGCTGTAGGGCAAGTACAAACTGTCAAGGCTTGTGGCATTTGCTCAAATTTTGGGCACTTTACTGATTCATGCCCCAAGTTACAAGATGATCCCAACGAGCAAGTTAATGCTCTGGGTGGGTTTCCAGGACAAGGACAGAGGAGGTATGATCCCTATTTGAATACTTACAATCCAGGATGGAGGGATCATCCAAACTTCAGCTACAAACAGTCAAACTTCCAACAACAATCACAACCTATCATGAGAAATTCTACACCAACACCACCTCCAAATCAATCATCATCATCTACGTCAGGTATGTCTCTAGAGGAAATGGTAAGAAGTTTAGCAACTAATGTGCATGGTCTTACACAGGCTTCACAGTCTTCTCAAGCTAGCATACAGAACTTGGAGAAACAAATGTCTCAAATGGCCACCTCATTGCAAAAATTAGAGGCTAACGCAGGAAGGCTTCCTTCCCAACCAGAAGTTAATCCCAAAGCAAATGTTAGTGCAATGACGCTGAGAAGTGGGAAAGAGCTTCAAGGTCCTAAGATACAAGATGGAGTATCTAAAGAAATTTCACAAGAAGTTGGGAAAGATTTCGACACCACCCCACTACCACAAAAAGAGGTAAGTTCTGAGCATGTTAAATCTAAACCAGAACTAGTGATTTCTCCACCTTTTCCTGGCAGGTTAGCGAAAGCGAAGAAGGAGGAAAGTGAGAAAGATATTTTGGAGATTTTTCGAAAGGTTGCAATTAATATTCCATTGTTGGATGCAATTGGTCAAATTCCAAGTTATGCAAAATTTCTTAAATCATTGTGTTCTAAGAAAAGGAAGCCTGAAGGTAAGATCTTTGTGAGTGAAAATGTTTCTTCAGTTATCCAAAGAAAGTTGCCTCAAAAGTGCTCCGATCCAGGTATGTTTGCTATTTCTTGTGTGATTGGGTCGAGAATGATTAAATCAGGTATGCTTGACTTAGGAGCTTCCATAAATGTGATGTCTTTATCCCTTTTTAAGGAATTAAACATTGGGTATCTTAAGAACACCAATGTGATAATTCAATTGGCTAACAGATCTGTAATATATCCAGAAGGGGTAGTTGAAGATGTTTTGGTTAAATGTGACAAACTTATTTTTCCTGCTAATTTTTATAGACTTGACATGAGTGATGAGCATGTTTCTAAATCTGAAATCCTTTTGTTGGGTCAATCATTCATGAAAACAGCTAAAACAAAGATTGATGTGGACTCTGGTACTTTTACTTTTGAATTTGATGGTGACAAAGTTACCTTCAATATGTTTGATGCTATGAAGTATCCAAATGATTTTGAATCTTTTGCTAGTGTTAGCATGATTGATACATTAGTCCAAGAGGATTTTGAGCATAATTTTGTGAATGATGAGTTGGATTTTGTTCTTAAGCATAACATGCAACAGAAGGACATTTGTTTTGAAGTGAATGAGGGAATCATAGAATCACTTATGGAACTTTGTGCACTACAGGAAGTACCTTCCAGGTTAGTTAACCAACGCTTTGATTTGCCGCTGAATTATGATAGAATTTTACCTTCTGTTGAGCAGGCACCGAAACTTGAATTGAAGACATTGCCAAATCATCTCAAGTATGTTTACTTGGGAGAAGATGAGACTTTGCCTGTAATCATTGCCAATGACTTAACAGAAATTCAAGAAGAGAAGTTGATGCGGGTTTTGAAGGATTACAAGACAGCCATAGGATGGACCTTGGCCGATATTAAGGGAATCAGCCCGTCAATTTGCATGCATCGCATTTTGCTAGAGCAAGATTCAAAACCAGTAAAAGATGCTCAACGCAAATTGAATCCTGCTATGAAAGAGGTAGTAATGAAAGAAATTCTTAAGTTGTTGGATTTGGGAATTATTTATGCAATATCGATAGTCAATGGGTAAGTCCAGTTCATGTGGTACCTAAAAGTCTGGTTTTCAATTGGTTAAAAATGATGTTAATGAGCTGGTTCCTATGAGATTGCAGACAGGTTGGCGTATGTGCATTGATTTTCGTAAGTTAAATGCAGCCACAAGGAAAGATCATTTTCCACTACCATTCATTGATCAAATGTAAGAGCGGTTAGCAGGTAAAGCTTTCTTTTGTTTCTTGGATGGATACTCTGGGTATCACCAGATTGTGGTAGCTCCAGAGGACCAGGAAAAGACAACTTTTACTTGCCCTTTTGGTACTTTTGCTTACCGTCGCATGCCTTTTGGTTTGTGTAATGCCCCTGGAACTTTTCAAAGATGCATGATGAGCATATTTTCTGATTACATTGAAAACTGCATTGAAATTTTCATGGATGACTTTACTGTCTATGGTGACTCATTTGATCAATGCTTGGATAATTTGTCTAAAGTTCTTGAAAGATGCGTTGACAAAAATTTGGTTCTTAATTATGAAAAATGTCACTTCATGGTGAAGGAGGGAATTGTTTTGGGTCATTTAGTGTCATCTAGGGGAATAGAAGTAGATAAGGCAAAAGTTGATTTAATTGCTAGTTTGCCATATCCTACTAATGTTCGAGAAATTCGAAGCTTTCTTGGTCATGCAGGTTTTTTTAGACGCTTCATTAAGGATTTCTCTAAGATTGCACAACCTTTATCTAGGCTGTTGCAACAAGATATTGCATTTGAGTTTGGAGAAGAATGCAAGAAGGCATTTGATATATTAAAGGGAGCTCTCACTTCTGCACCTATTATTCAACCTCCCAACTGGGATTTGCCTTTTGAGCTCATGTGTGATGCAAGTCATTATGCTGTAGGAGCAGTACT